AACATGTACTAAACCGAGACACAGGTCTAGAGCTGGATTTCTGTAAGTGTGCATGAGCCTTTGTACGTGGTGTGCTAGATACAAATATAGACATGAGAGCACCAGAAAATATTAAAGTCCTACTCCTGCATTTCTCACCTACGATAAAGAACTAAGGTCAACTCCTGCATCCATCTTAGAAAACGAGCAATGATGCTGCAGAACCCACACCTCCTACTCCATCTATCAGAGACATCCTGTCTGCCCCCCGCCTGCACACTCATCACCAAGGTAACACGGGGACATGTAGGACCATAAATAGTCCTTTAGTTGTGAGGATTTAAAGCCGTGGATTATTAGACTGCGTTCACTTTGAAAAGATATTAGAACGTCAAAGAACTGTCCCATTGTTTCCATCACTGCTCTACAGGAGGCTATAGTATATAATATATATATATATATATATATATATTATATAGTGACTTCATTCTCTGCTCAGGTGGCCATTATAAGATACTGTTTGTATCTTAACATATCAAACAGTTATTTGCTGCTCTGAATATCAAATGTAGCACGTTTAAGTCTATGAACTGTCGACACAAAGTGAATAAGAGAACCCCAGGTGACATTTAAAGGTTGCTTGTTATTTCCAACCAGCAGTTCAAGACCGGAATCTATTCAATTTACTGTCAGAAAAAATCCTCACATTTGAGAGGCAGGGCAAACGAATAGTTGCCGATAATCGACTCAGAGATTAATCGACTGATAGTTACGTTACCTGTCTAAATTTGACGTTCTTTAGGTTTTTTTCTATGTATTTATACCACGATGTGTCCACATAGCGCTGCCTGTTTTCAATGGATAAACAAGTTTAAGAGCAGTTGTGTTTCTGATTAGTCAACCAATTAATCATGTGGTCTGTATAATGTCATATTTAGTAAGAAAATGTCTATCAGGATTTCACAGAGCCTATAAGTCTAAGCCTCATATCTACCCGAGCTCTGCAGCAGTGCTGCCTGGGAAATATCTCACATGAGGCGGAGTTTTGGGAGAGATTTACTCTGATTGGCCTTTTTCTTTTTGCCTACATTATTAGAGGACCGTCTGCCCCAGTAGGGTTGTCAGTGTAAGACACTGTAGTAACTTGAGCAGTCAAACTGTCTGCTAAACCTGAAGTGTGTACACGATGAGGCACAAACCAATCAAATAGTCTCAGCTGCCATTCACACCACAGAGTGTTAACATGGAAACAATATGACAGCACCCCCCCCCCCCCTCTCTCTCTGCGTATGCTATTCAGGACGGGCCTGGACAAGCCGTGCTTATCTGAGGCAAGAAAGAGCCAACCCAGAGGAGACGAGAAATATGTGTGTCATATTCAGGAATCGGTGACAAGAACAGGTTTCTCCTCCAGTTTCCCCTTTTTGAGCAGCACACCTAGAGATCAACACCAACCATCCAGTAGCCTCACGAAGAAATAGGACATGCAAACTAACCCCGTTAGCAGGAAGACAACATCATCAACAATACGCCTGGCGACGGCGTAGTTCATTACATTACAGAACCGACGCTAAACATGTTGTTCCTTAATTGTATGTTTTGGCAGGACCCTCACTCCAAAGACTTTAATTCCCAAATGATACGTCCACAGCCCAGAACCAGAATATCTCTCACTAGCATCGACTGTTTGTGGAGCGACTCATCTCAACACATTGCCCTCAAGGTTTGTTTTTATAATTATAATAACAGGCCTTCATGTCAGCTATACATAATTCCATATTTAAATACTTACATTTGAAATTCAAAGCGCACCTGCAATTTAAATAGCAAATATAAATAAATCAAATGTAGCCCCTTTAAAGGGTTGAATGTGAGAGTACTGTTTTTTTGTTCTTGCTCTGCTACGAGCTGAGAGAGAAGTGTGCTATAGGTAAGAGAAACATGAAGCAGTGCTCTCAGCTGGGCCATCCTGTTGGCAAAGTGACTTCAGAATAAACAGCTCTCAATCAAATGACCTGATCAACTTCACGTAAACTTTCACATCTAATTTGCCAGCTGAACCTGCATCGCCAATCAAACAGCAAGTCGTCACACTTTACTGGGAGGAGTGCAGAAATAAAAACACAATTCTCTCTGCGCAGATCAAAGTTGCTGTCGGCTAAAAATAAACAATGTGTTACACTTACTCCCTCGTTCTACCTTGCAGCTTGCTTGCACATTCCTCCATAGAAATGCTTTACATAGTTAGGATAGCTGAACACTGGAATCTGACCATCACTCCGAACAGCTGTCTGCTCTGCTGCATGCTGGCACGACCAAAACAAAACACCAGTGGAAACTAATTTCAGGGAGATGTTTATCATCAAGAAAGTAATCAAATTCAACAAAACTTATGTTAACAGTCTTCAAATAACAATGGATTGCTCCAGGTTCAGACCAACACTGTGCCGTGAATCAGAGGTGACTCACGCCACACGGAGAGGACAGAGCCATGGCTTCAGACGCCCGTGACCTGATGGATGACCTCTTCCCAGCAAACGCACGTCACACATAAGGGCATCGGCAATGAGTAAGACCCCTGGCATGAGCCCACTGCTGCGTGGGAGTAAGAGTGGACAAGCATCCCACAATGCCGGCGTGACCAGGAGCCAGACAACTGCGGTTTCTTCTATTAAAAAGCTTGACCTCGCATGCCAAGTCAACGTTTCTAGTTCTTCCCACAGATCTACATGCCCTCCATTGTTTACAGCCACAGTAAAGGCTTTCCACTGATTACTTCCCATTTGTCAGAGCAAAACATCATTATCCTGCTGGAGAACAAAGATGGAGTAGATTAATTACAGTAAGTGATTATCCTGACTGACCCAAAGGTTTATGGGAAACTATCTCCCCTAATAGATACCCCGTATATCCTCCTTCACTACAATGGAAAACAAACAGTGTGTCTTGATTAGAAAACGACGCCAGGTGTTTACTAGTTTTTTCCAAATTTTGGACTAGAGATGAGAGACCAGCTCTTGACACATAAGACGCTCTCACACTAGTCATGTCCCACGACTTCTGTTAAGAGCCGTTTACCCACACATTCATGTCTCGTTTTGACAAAAGGCGTGTCTTTAAATGGCAGCCCCTCAAATATGACGTATACGATTTCCCACTTTTGCTTGACGTCGTTTAAACGTCTAATCACACAAAGAGAGTTTTCTTCAATCAATTGTTCTATAAAGACAGAGCTTCAGCTTCAGCTCTGGTGTCTAGTCGTCACGGAGAGGAAGAACTGGACCTGAAGGTCTCATTCTGCTCCGGCTGATAAGACTTCAAATACTAAAGCCAGACATTTCCTAAAATCCTTTTTATATAATTCAGACCAGTTCATATGCAGCAAATCCCTTTAGTTGTCATTAAATGCCTTCAACAGAAAACAATTAGCTAACAATTAGTAATAAGCCCACCCATAATCCTAAAATATTAAAGGGGCCGAACAGACTGGGGCAGAAGAATGTGTCGCAAAATGTTTCGTCTTCCGCTATCCATTCTCATGCTCAAGTTAGTCATTGAATCTTGACTCATGACATGCAGACAACCTCCATCAATGTTGCCACACTGATTTGAGGAAGTTTGTGTGAATCCTGCTTCCTGGATTAGCCGTCTTATTATTAGCACCGGGGTGTCGACCCTACGGTCCTATAAAACTACGAATACTAACAAACCATTGGCAATGCTGAGCGTTGCCGATGAGCTGAAGAGATAGATTAGAGTTAGATGAAAGCTAACGTAGTTTAGCACAAAAGACTGGAAACAGCCACGTTCTGTGCTGCTTGTTTGTTTGTTTAATGCAAAGAGTGTAAAATGTCGAACTATTCCTTTAAACCACATTGTAACCCAAAGCTTGTCGGTGAGCTTCATACTAATAAAGTCACAGTTCACTAAATTGAGTTCAACCTTATTATTTACATTTAACCTGTGCCAAATGATCAGACTTTGTGTTGCAGCTGTGATATAGGAATACTGTACATTATTGGCTTTTCAGGTTAATGATGCAGGAACAAACACAGATGTTAATGTCACCTTACAAATACAAAAAATAAAAAAGTTAAGCAGTATCATAGTCATAGTACTAAAACATGTTTTAACATTATTGATTATTGAGCATCTCTTATCAATAACTATTTTTTAATGATCTATAAAACTGAACTTACTTCTACTGTTAGAACAATCTTGTGGTTTGTTTCCATCTCTCGTGTCTTGATTACTCCAATCTGTGGATTTCAGTGTAGTCTCAGGTGTCAACAACACCGTTATCTTCCACTATACCAACCGCACTTCAGCTCCCAGGGGGCCGATCTAACACCACTGCAGACCTCTTTCATTTGTGGCCCTGAAATCTGTTCCCAAACTCCTGGATAGACTACTTCATGTGGACTGTGTCACACAAGCACACTAATAGAGTGGCATATGAATTCTATAATTCTCTGCTAACACATTGTACCAAAAGCACATAGACAGACTACCGTAGGCCCAGTCAGAGGCAAACCACTAATACATGATTAAAAAAAACAAGGTGATGCTGGAGCATTGGTCTACCTGGAAAATGGTATGTTGCAGCAGACTGTGTGGTTATTAGCTCCCTTTAGTCAGGTCTGATATGGTTAACTTCAAGTCTGGTCCTGAGCCAAACTCTGGGAGGATCTATTTTGTTTCCTGATGTCCGCTCCAAATGAAGAAGCATGCCAGATATGAATAAATCACAAAACACTGCTGATCAATAAGCGAAGTGGATTGTAATACAGTTAATGGGGCTGTGCTAAAATAGTGTCCAGCTGGTCAGTCTGTGCACACTGAGGTGATCAAAGTCAAATGCATTGCGTTGGTTGATAAAGCACCACTTAAGCCAGATCCTCACCCAGGAACCTCAAGAACCAATACTTATGCCTTGTCATATACAATGCACTAGTATTGTGTCTTTATATTTTTATTTTGTCATTGCATCACCAGTGGTGAGTTGACATTAAAATAATTACCTGCAGAAGAGGAGTCGTCGTGGTCGGAGCTCAGGTACCCATCGCTCCTCCTGTCGGGGGTGCTGCACCCGGAGCCGCGCGAGGCTCTGCGGTGAACCTGCGGGATGGACGGGGACAGCCTGCCGTCGTCGCCGGAGTCGAAGTCCCTGCTGTGGCGGAAGGGCCGCCGGGGGTCCCGGTAGCCGATGGGCGTCCTCTGGTTGTCCCTGCCGACGGTATTTGGTGCCAACAAGTTACTCCTGACGAAATTCTCATTAAGCTCCGTATCTTCGTATTCCCGGTCGCTGCCCGCCTCGTTGTCATTCGGTAGACAGACGCGAGCTGGGACAGGGTCCTTTTTCTGAAAGCTGGGTTTCCGTGGCGGGACCGGGATGGGAACGGGCTTACCAGTCTTGAACCTGCCTCGCCCGAAAGAGCTCATGACACCCGCCGTGTTACCTGCCGCGTGGAGCTTCACGCCCCCTGAGTCGGACACCTTGGTCCTCTGCCCGTCGCCCTCATCCTCCCGCCGCTGCGGTCTCCGAATATCCCCCGTTTTACAAAAGCCAAATGGGTCCGCGTTAAAGTTTTCGTCTTTGCCTGCAAACCGTTGCGGGTCGTTTCTCTTCTGTCGAGCCATGGTGGTCTGCAGGTAAATCACCTTGAATTTCTCCTCCGCCAGCGCCTTCTGGAGCCTCTTCAGGTTGGCCTTACTCGTCTCCAGCTCCGACTCGATGTCCTCCACAGAGTTCAAGTCCATGTTAGGTACTCTTCCGTCGGGAAATTCATTCCTCCAGTGCTTTGCAAATTCCTCCTGTTCCCACATAACGTTGTTCAATTCGGGCTTCCCGCGAGCCGCAGTGTCGTAACAGTCAAGAGAGAAATGTTGGAGCTAATAACTCTTCTGTGTCTTCACCGACAGTCAGCGGCGTGTCTGTCGCATTCATGCACCTTCCTCTCCTTCTAAGAACAAAAAAGCTGTCTCTCGATATTAACTCGACCGTTTTCTGACCATCTTCACCCTCCCACACATACAAACAGCGGGCGTACTGTGCACGCCGAGTGATGCGGATAACAAGTTTGTCGCTACGCTGAAAAGTTTCGAGACTTCCTGGATCGAGACGTGCTGCCTTCAAGTGCTGCTCGGACAAGTGTGTTGTCCATATAGTTTTATGTCAGTAAAATCAGATCAACGTAGCAATCAATACAATACTTTGAAGCAGATGTGTTTGGCTTTCTTTGGGGCGAAAAAACCCACATTATTTATGTAACTTCAACATTTAAAAATTAACCACAGAGCTAATTTAAGAAAGTATCGAAACACAATATTAATTTGACTAGTGTATGACAGCAACATCCCAGAAATGTTTATCATCAAACGATTACTCTGTCTCTATCTCCATATAACATATCTCGTAGCACTTGAGTAGGCCACCACCATTATATACAGTCTATTATTCCCCATCGTGCTAACCAGCACCGAAATAATTCCGATAGCACTTCAATGCAACAAGTATTATTGAAGTGGAAGCTGTTCACTCTGACAACAATCAATGTTCACACCATGTGGTGCAAATTTGAAAGTAGCCTTTATTTGTTTGTTTTTTTTACAAAGAAACATACTATGCATATACATGACAGGTGAAATGGTGGATTAATATCAAAGTCCTATACTTATTGGCTCAAATGGGCTATTCTTCAAAAAGAACAAGTGAATAGGAGAACAGACTTACTGCAATGGACAGTGTGCATCTCTGTTCTGTGAAAGGACGGCACTGTGACAAGACTGCTGGTGGTTTGACATAAAGGAAGAGAAGAGTGGTGTTCATCATGCTATACTTGCTACCCGGCCTCCGTGAAAACACTACTCCACCTGCAAACCCACATGCACGCTTCGGTGCTTTATTACACACATCTGTGCATGCATATCATATGCAGGCACGTGTCCTCGTGCTTTTGCTGGTTTTGGTTGATGCTATTTTATCACTGCAGAATAATCTTTGGTGACAAATGTGACCTTTGCTCAGCCTTTTTCTTTTTTCCCCCACCCACTTGATTTGTGGCACACCTGGCAAATACTTTACATTCAACATTTTTTAATTTAGCAAAAGAAACATTTGTTTTGTCTAACCTTGAAAGCTTTGGATCATAGTGGGTTTCATACGCAAATGAGCAACGATAAAACACAGTCACCTTCAGCTCAGCGGGATGAAACAACTTGGTAAGCAGCCAAGCAAGAGGCTTCCAGTAAAACTGAGTTGTAATGCTATACGGCAGAGCAGAAAGTTACCAGGAGGGATGGAAGCTTGGTGCCTGGATCCCTGCCCAGAACTGAAACATCATTCTCCTAAAAGCTTTCAGCAGCCATGGAGGAATCATTGATCAGCACTCGTTGCGGGCCTGAGAGCCCTGATTGGGTTACTGCAATGAATAGATGGGAAAAGGATACGACCAGCCTGGGGTCATGAAACTGAAATACTAATCACGAAGCCTGACATGACATAGCAGGAAATGCATACACTTTTTCCTGGTTAAGCTACAAGTGTTCACTGCAGTCAGCACGTTGAATGAATGCGCTCAGTGCAAAGATAATGACATGACTAGAGGGGGGAATGATAGGGCCGTGCACAAAAGAGTGGACTCGGCCGACAGTATTCTTTGCATCTCATTCCCTCATTTACCCCACAAAAAAACAAAACACTGAACACATCTTAAATTGTTTTTTTCTTTGACACACCTCTCGACCTACTTCGCTCCCATTCAAGTTCAGATGTGCGGGTGCGCCTGAGAAGTCCGATTGTGTTGTTGATTTGAATCCACGGGTGCGAATGAGACGCAACCAAGCAAAGAACGCCACAAGGGAAGTTCAGGTTTGAATTACTGTGTGCTGCCTATAATATATTGACATACAGTGGGCAACTGGCTCCTCTGGGACAAGCTTCCATCAGTGGGTGTGTGACGCCCTCTAGCGGCTGTAGGTGCAACACTACATGACAGAACAAGCACGTGGGATCAAAGCAACACAGTATGAAGGGTGCTGTGTACAAACAATACAAATAGCACAGTGTAGTATAGCACTACATTTATTGATTGGGTCATTTCCACAGGACTTAAAGGACAGAAAACGTTACTAATCATGTAAATGGTGCTAACCCCCCAACAAAATTATTGCTAATTGAAACATGAATTACTGTAAGACCACAGCGATGCACTTTGACACGACAAAGACGCAAAAACATATCAAAAAGGACATATGCTTTCCACGATCCAAGTACTATATTTCACTTTAGACCAAACACACAGTACAAGTATATCAAAATAGACACAGGTATATATCATTATAAAACACGGTTCAAACCATTTGTTTAGAGGAAGAGAACATACTCCACTTCTTATCAAAATAATATCTTGTTATCCGACACGTATAACATACAAGTTCCACTCCAAATTTTGCTGTGCAATTCTTTTTTGTGTGTCTGAAATCTCTATTAAGGCAACGATAGGACAGCACCACAGACGCAACCCCTGGAATTACAGGAAGGAAGTATCAAAGGCCACAAACACCCTCCCAAAGAGGTGACAAATATAAATGTAGAAGAGGACAAACAACGACAGTTTTGGGTCAAACGTTGCAGGTTATGATCCTGAGCAGTAGTAGGAAACTTAAAGAGTGATGGTTAATGATTCATAAGCCACCAATTTAGCTTTAATATTATACAAAAAAACATAGTTGATTTAATGTAAATATATATATATACAACAGTATCATAAATACTTACCACAGCAGTATACTTCTTCAGATCAAAGACCTTCACTGTGACTCTTTCAAAAGCCCCCACACCTTCTTTGCATAGTTAATAGATTCTCTTTTAGTAAATGTTTGGCAAACTAAATCAGTGTGTAAAAGTTATGGTGTCTAGTCATTACGTGAGGGCAAAGTCTGTCATTCGCTAACAGAACAAAGTGCAACACACAGATCTTTGCCGCGGCTACCAGCGCGTCCATGGTTCGCCGTTAGCCTTGCCGACCAGCTTTCATACTTTTCTGATGGCGCTCGCCACCAAGGCTTCTCGCCTGGTGGTCATGAACGCCTGTTGTTTTTCATAATAGGCTGCCTCGTTGATGAAAGTGGGGTAGACGGTGCCCGTGCCTTGGTAGCGGATGGTCTTTCCGTCGAATGTTTGGAACATTGAGTCACCGGGGTTCAGCGGCTCCCAGTCGCAGTCCTGAAACAACAAGCGGCCGCCACAGGGAAAGTAACTTGAGTTGTGCTGCTCAATCTAAAACAATACACTCTGGCATTGACCAAAGACATCTCATTTCCTCTTTCGTAATGGCTCATAGTCACGGGTTCAATAGGTCGGATATACAGGCTGCCTAGGTTTTACCTGCAGATTGGGGTGCACCATGGCAATGATGTTTCTATTGGCATCTCTAGGGTAGTCAATCCTCTCCAAGACCCGGAAAACTTCCACCGTACAGGGAGGGAACTCCATGCCTGAACAACACACAGACAAAAACACCCCCGACATTGTAACCATCCTGCTAAATCTTGTATTCCAGAAACTATTGAAGACACAGACAAATAATGTTCCTACTAGAAATAACAAGGATGCATTCTATGTATGGATTTGAAGTTGGTTGGATAAATGTCTTTTCTTTGTGGGGCACTGTGATGTAAATAATACTGTATACGCCAGAAACAACAAGCAGTGGAAAGAAACTTGTTGTTTTTGCTTCATAACCAAGAGTAAAACCAAGCGTACTGACTGAAAGACGCTGACTCAGATTCTATAAATATTAAAAAACAATAAATCATCTATGAGGTTGATGTGATTTTAAAGTGTCTGTATAGTTCATTTCAGATATAGATCAATGCTCACGAGTCCTTTTTTTTTTGTCAAAGTCCCAGGTCTCTTGAGGTTGTAATTAGGGTTCTGTCATATGTAAGGAGTTCATCACTCCTTTATCTATTAGCATACAGTATCAGCATTGATTAGTTGTTGTTGGTATATGATCATTTAAAGCAGGATATTGCAATGCAGTATGAAAAAAAAAAAAAACACAATAAAAACTTTCATTTAAAGTTAATAACTGTATTTTGCCCTCTTAAAAATGGATTTAGACTAAAGTCACTCAGGGTAATGGGAAAATATCGCTAACATTATCAGGTATGCAATAATAACCGTCACCTATTTTTCAATATCAGAGTATAATTGTTATTGTATGATGAACACTGAGTCTCCAGCTAATGACAGTTTATAGTCCACATCCCTGTAGCCTCTCAAACCAAGAGATGCTCGCGAGTCTCAAGTCACTGCGTGCATCACTTGAGTCCAAGTCCCCATCTCTGACACATTACATTACTCTGGTAAAGTGTGTTGAAGGTGCCAAAGTGGCCTTATTCACTCTCCGGAACTGAACAGGATGTGCAGTGTGTGCTTTTGTTTTTCTGGCAGAGATTAGACATTAAGTAAGTAAACCACTAATCTGCATTGATATGCAAGCGGCAGCACACCGAGCAGTAATCTCAACGGAAGTCATTTTCAGCTGTAAGAACAAAGTTCACTCTCTCACGGCTAAATGAGCTGTTTCCTCACGCTGCTCGGCTCCGGGGCGCAGGAACACCGATTCATCCGCGTGCCACAAGCATTCATTGGGGCCAGAGCGGCCCCACCCCCCCGCGACAGAAGATTACCGCACCATTGGCAGCCGGACTATGACAACAAGCAGACCATTCAATGGCCGGTCTGGGCCGAGCCGGGGGAAACCGACAGACTGCACGGGCCGCTTTGTTTACGTGAAAAAGAGGAAAAAAATAAAGAAAAAAGGGCCCGCCTTTGCGCCTAAAGAAACGCTGTTCTGATCCTCGGGGTAAGAGAAGGAGCGATGAGCCATGATGCAGACACATTTAAGAGATCTGGGTTTAGGTGCATCTGGATGAATAAGACAAGGCACCCATGGGCGCTTTGCCACAAAATGTTTCTCGTCTACACGATGCTGACGAACAGGATAGGCGGACTTCCTCTCCTATTGCATAACAAACATGAATCATATTAGTCGTCCTCATGTCAGAATTCTCGAGAGACACTCTCCCGGAAAGCTTTTAATCTCAGCTGCTTCCTTTAAAAGCCTCGTGACGTGGTCCGGTGTTGAACACTACATACGTGTGGTGTGTCATAGCTGAGAAATACCTTCATTAAACAGTTCGATGAAGTCCAGCGCGTGCTTCAGGATCACCCTCATGGCTTCGAAGATGTTGCTCCTCAGAACCCCTTGAGGCTGAGGACCCACTTCCAGACCTGCAATCAAACAATTCAGAAGACACGTTTTTTTCTGGTAAATGTTTAAGTGGACGTCTATTGGTGGGGGGTGTGTATCTTGTTCGTTGTCCCCAAAAGCCATTCGGCCCCCGGGGCTTGATTGAGAGACTCACCGACAGGGTGCTTGGCGACAGAGCGCGAAGTGGAATATTTCAAAAGAGGATGTTCATTCAGCAGAACAAGACAACTGGCTGGAGCGATGGCTTTCTGCAACACGAAGCAAACAAAAGCGAGATCTCAGCAGCAGATAATAAAAACAAAACTACACACAAACACCTTCACACACACACACACACACACACAGTCACACACAGCGACACGTCAGCCAACTGTCTGAAGCACAACGGAACCTGGGAGCTTTAAGGCTCTTCCTCCACAGAAAGTGAATTCTGCACCAGCTCACATCGCAGCAGACATGACGCGCACAACAACAGACGAACACGATGACACATGAGCACGAATCAAGTCCAAGTCTGTCTTGGTAAAGTAAAAGTACAAAAAACATTCACAGCACAAACAGATTCGTGATTATTGTCTCCATAATTCACATCATCATTAGACTGATGGATAAAAACTATGAACATCTAATTGTAGCAGATTGTTTGCTCTTAATTCTTTCGCCTGAGGTCTCTGAATCAGCATTTTCTGATTTGTGTTTCTTAAAGTTACAAAAAAAATTATTTCTCATAACCCCTATTGCTGACAGTCACAGAGAGTGTGCTGCTTTTGGCTGCTCTTCTGCTCCCTGGTGTCTTTGTTTTTGTGTTGAGGAGCGAGATCTAAAACGGCTAAGCAGGCTAAACGAACGTCATATAAAACGTTGGTGTTCTAATATGCTTAAACACGTTATGTGGATTTACGATGGTTGAAATTCTATATGGACCGCCCTCTTCTTTTTGTACATGAAACAAAAGAATGAAGCGTCCTCTCAGGCTCACGAGGGCAGATAATGACCGAAGAAAACCGGCCGGTGTGTTGGAGTGGTTGATCCTTTAAATGAGTTTGTTTCACACGTTTAAAGGAAAACTGGGGACAGTATCATCTATGCGGGTTAACTGGACCTCTACAGAAGAGACCTTTGAGTAGAACATTGACTTTTAAGCACACACTTTGATGTGGAAGGTAGAAGTGAGCGGACACCAGACCACCTTTCACAGTTAAAAATAAGTTTAAAATGTTAAATTGAACCACTGATTAAGACTTGCACATAATGAGAGGTCCTCAGAACGGCTAATGTAAATGTGCTCCTCAAGGGGTCGTCACCTTGATGTAGTTCATCATCTGCAGATTGAAGTGGTCTTTGGAGCTCTCCAGGATCAGGGTGCAGCCCATGTTGGACGTGGTGTTGTGGAGGTCAAAGATGACGTCGTAGGCCTCCGGGCTTCCTTTGGGCCCGAATATCTTGTTGATGTCCTGGGCTCGCTGCACCTCGTAGGGCAGGTCATCTCCTCCCGTGGCACTGCGGGGCGCACACACACACACGCACACACACGCAGACGCGCACACACGCGCGCACACACACACACACACACACACACACACACACACACACACATGAGAAAAGATGCCAACACATCTGATATTTTTATCACAGCTTATCAGACAGTTCTCCTGGCAGGACAATGAGCCGTGACGCATGCTAATGATTCACACAGGGCGGTCTACTTGTCCTACATGCCCTGGAACACTTTCATCTGACTGTCGGCCGTATAGTGGAAAAAAAATATCTCTGATCAACAAGTTGATGCATGTAACTGTGAGAGCAACAGCGGGGGGAACAGGAATTTCCTGATTTCTGTGTCGAACGTATGGTTTGTATTCAATGCGGTTCTTCACATGACGATAACAGCAAAACTCCAATAACTGTAAATGATAATTAGCACGATTCCACCTAATCTTTAATGCAGAAAATCATGTCAGCCATTAACTTTACATGAGCTGGACTCGGCAGGGAAAGGCCCCCCTTTGGTGAGAAATGTAAGCCACCTTCTCCAATCCTTGCATCGCTGCTCTTAAGAAGCCCTGAATGGTTTGTTTTGTCAGCGTGGATAAAGTTGCCCCCCCCCCCCCCTCCAACCAGACATTCTACATGCTGTGAGCAGAGAATGAGAACTTCCCCCCTTTTTTTTTCTCCCTCTCTTAGCTCTTTTTTTAAAGCGTTTCAGAATAACCACTGATCCAGGACGTTCTCCAAACGACAGTAGAACAGCACCTCTGCTGCGCATATTGTCTCGCCTCCCTCACATCTGCTCTTTTTAGACAGCCATTTTCAGCAAACATCTGGCATTGTCTGGACTGCCAGGGCTTTTGGCACACGAGCACAGTGTGTGAATTACAACTGCACCAGGACACGTAGGCAGTGGATTCAGTGCTTGTGTGTTAAGATCATTTTAAATGTGCTGGGACTCCACCCATACAGTCTGATCCTTTTACCATATTTTCAGTTTAAAAAATTATAATAATTCAAAAATGAAACACTACAACAGAGCACTTGAAAATATCCCAAGGGCAAATTATGGTAAATCATAATGAAAGGACAAGATAAAGTCCAAAATAATCATGGCGACAGGGCTAACAGTGGAGCTGCCACAATAACCTTGCTGTTGTTATTACAGGATTCCTCTGGTGATTTATGAGCAGTGGCAACCGCATTAGTCAATAGGCTGCTGTGTGTATTCATGCGGGTCGACTATATGAGCCAGCGTTTTCTGCAAGACTTAATCTTCCGCTACCACGCACACGAAGAGGGACGAATGCAACAACAACAAAGAAAGAAAATCTTAATTAATTTGCAGCTCGGTCACATTTCGCTCACGTTTCCCCTGCTGGAGGACGGTCAGCTCGAGTCCTGGGGAGGGAGGGGATACGCTGTTCTGCTGTTATTAGCAAGGGAGGGGGGGGGGCATGGCAAACACACGAGCAACCTGAGATAATAGCATTTTGATGGAAATGTCCGCGTGACCGTATTACTGTGGGATTTCCCACTATGAAACAGTGTAAATCCTCTAATATAGTGCCCCGTTCGTCCGTGCTGTATTTATTTATTTGTCATTCCACTGTGTTAACCAGACGTTCTCTAAGCAGCTATCTTATAAGATATTTGCCTTCATTTGACAGAGCACACACACACACACACACTCACACACAGTCAATAATGTTGCATTATTGCGCCGTTACATTTATCAACACGTTTCCGTAGAAGTCATCAGTGATCTCACATTTAGAACTTTGATTTTAGTCATTTCAATGTACACAAAATGTACACAAGACTAATCAATCAATAATCATAATATACAGTACAGGTACGTGTCTTTTCTTTGTTGTTGTAATAAATCAAATTGAGCTCAAACCCCAATCAGTAAAATCCCAGTTGTTGAACCTGTTTAGTGGATCCGTGCCAGGACAAAGTTTCCATTCAACACGTATGACAGCAGCCGCAACAGCGACGCTGCGCCGTGTTTACCTGAGGTTCTCCGGGGTGAAGGCTCGGTTCAGGTCCGTGTCCACGTATCTGGTGCACTTCTCCACGGCCTTCGGGTTGGTGATGAACGGCTTGGTCTCGACCCGTTTCCTCTGGATCTCGGCGCTGTTCTTCATCCACAGGTTCACGAGAGTCACGCCAGACATCTCGTTCCCGTGCGTTCCCCCGAAAATAGCCACCCTCCTGGCCTCGGTGACACGCACGCTGTTGCCGTAGGACATGGTCTGGATCCCGAAACTGCGCAGGGTCCAGATGGAGACGCGCTGCTTCTCACGGGGGACTGTATGGGGGAGGGGGGGTGGGGGGGCAGAAGGGAAAGTTTCCAGCCGGAGTCTCGCAGTCTCACTGTTTAAATGCCTGCCGTGGCTGCTGCGCGCTTACGTAACGTGTCCGCTGGCTTGTTGGGATCAGTCGCCGTGCGTGAAATGCGCCGAGTTGGCGCACGCGACATCTCGAGTTGCACGCGAAACCCCAGTTAACGAGGTTCCTCCCTTTGTTTACCTTTTCACCCGCCAAACTCACAGGAAGGATTCGTTTCCGGTGATGTTCCTCCGAAATAAAATGTAATCAAAACATTCGTTTCAAGTACGTACGCATTAACAAGTCGTCTTTTGAGCTGGACATGACGTGACGCGTTACTTCCGGTCATGGCCTTCAAAATAAAACATGTTTAAGAAAAACAAAATGCCAGTGGTATAACGTTACAAGAACACGAGGACTGAAAATACAATCTAAGCTTTTTTTCTCCCCCCTCCCCCTGCTTTATACATTAGCCTAGGATTGACACAAGTTTTCAGTAAAACATAAATTACTTATTACCCAACACATTCAGTAAATATATTAAGTCTTCCGAGAGGTTAATGAATGCCATGACTCCCCTTACTAAATGTATATAATCCACAAATGCAGAAGCAGATGAATAGGACCTGACATATCAGATGATTTTTATTTATTTTTATTAAACTAAGCCACAGCTGAATTTTGAAAAAATAAAAAAAAATAAAAATATTTAGCATGTTGATCTGCCAAAACTTGATCACAAATTAAATTCCAGAGAAGTACCATATGGAAGGTGACCATGAAAATGTTTTACCTAAAGCAGTGGCTCTGTATTACCTATTAACCCCATGAATGGTGCACTTTGTCACAGCTCTAACAAACACAGACAGTCACTCAGACCATCAGATCATTTGCACTAAAAGGGCACAGTGGAGACGTCTCCTAAACAGAGGACAGCATACTGATTTCCAACACAAAACAACAATTTATGTTTTTACGCATTTTATGGCGGGGCAAAATACAAAAACAGGACAAGTTTAAGGAAAGGCACAACTTGCCCCTACTATGGACAGCCAAACGCCCATTAGGTGGCAGGCTGTGTACAGATTTGTCATCCTGACCGGTTGACAATGGGTTTACTGTACATTAAAAACATAAAAAACACACTAAAATACAAAAATACAATTTCAGGAATTTCCATGTTTTTTTCAAAGTGCTCACAAACTATTTGATTACAATCATTAGATGTTGTTTTAATTAACAAACGTAACATTTTTTCCTCCAACTATTCAAATGTTCATATCTAACAGCTTTCATATTCAAGTCATCATTATGGTTTGTTATGGTGTGTTGTTTTTCAGTTAATTTCAACACCAAAAAGGTTGAGAAATGCAGAGCTAAAATGCCTTGATACAAAGCATATCAATACATATTTAAAAGGAAATCTTTTCACATGTTCACTGTCCATCTAAAAAAGACACAGAGCGTCCAGCATGCGGCTGCATCAGCTGTCCTGATCAAACTCAAACCACAGTTCATCCAATCGGTGAGTTCAAACTAACACTCAGTAAAGAAGTCCTCGTTTGGATTATGAAGTTTCCGCTTGCGCTTTCCAAGCTTGTTTTTCACAATGTCTGAAGTCTCTGGTGTGGTTGATTGCTCGTTCCTCTCTTTTTGATTTTGTATGGGCTCTAACTCAGCAGACTCTGTTGACGACTTTCCCTCGTTTTTTAATTTCTTCTTCTTCTTCTTCTTCTTGTCTCCCTCGTCATTTGACGTCGCTAAATCACATTCGACTGAGGTCAGCGTTCCCGTGCTCGGTTGGTCATGAGTACTGCCATCCTGAGACACGTTCGTACTGTCACAGCGTTTGCCCTTATCCTTGCGTGAAAATGAGCTACAGGTCGTGGCGGTTGGTGGACCCTCTTTCATCACATCGTTGCACTTTTTCTTCTTCTTTTTCAACACCGCAGCCTCATCATGTGGAGAAAACGCTGCGTCGGCTGCACCATCCAATCCTTCACTCTCACTTCCTGTACGTTTCTTTTTCCTTTTCCTCCCCGTGTCAGCAGATTGAGGCAAAGCACCCCGACGTGTTTTGTCCGGTTCCTCACAATCCCGCTCGTGACCTTCTTCCACGCTCTCCTGCTCTGCAGACGTCTTCCTCTTCCTTTTCCGTTTCGTGACCCCGTCGTTGAGTTCCTCCACATTGTTTTCCTCTGCATCAGCGACGAGGAAGGATGACTTTGTCTTCTTTTCTTTTTCCCGCACAGATGCTGAATCATCGCTTTGCGCCACTTTGTCTTCAGATACACCCCTGCTAAATATTCCACTCTTTTTCTTCTTCTTTTTCTTCATCACAGGTTCAGCATTTTGCTCTTCAAGGCCCTCATTTGTTTTCTGGTTTCCCTCTTCTTCAGGAGTGTAAGAAGAGAAATTCATTCCCTCAAAGAGACTTTTCCTCTTCTTCTTCAGTGACGTCTCTGAACCTTTAGCCAAGGTTACAGTATCATCCAGACCAAAGCTCACATCTGCACCCTCTCCTCTGTCCTGAGGGGCCTCGTTATTCAATGACTGTTGCTTCTTTTTGTGCTTTTTCCTTTTGACAAAACTGGATCCTAAAGTTTCGTAAGAAGCCGCAGCATTTTCGGAACAATTTCCCGACGCCTCGACCTGCTCTGTCGACACCGGCGGCAAATCCAAAGTCCTATTCGAGGCCTCCTCTTCTTCATGTTCGTCCGGTATCACAATTCCCAGTTCTTTTTTCCCTTTTTTCTTCTTCTGTATGTCAGCATCATCAATTAGAGGTTCGGCAACTGCGCCCAACTGTAACTGCTCGACATCCTCGCCACTTCTCTTCCTGTTCTTCTTCTTCTTCTTCTTTCCACCATCCTCCACGTTACAGCTCACTGAAACCACACAATCCTCCACTCTCACGTCCGCTTCCTGTCCAACACTTTCTGCTCGGGGCTTATTCTTTTTTCTCTTTTTCTTTTGTGTTGAATCGGGAATACCTCCCTCCTCCTGCCTCAGTGTGTTACCATTACCTGACGAGTCCTTCATCCCATGTTTTACATTCACTTCCAGCACATTGCTGGTCTGCGCTGCCCTACAACCCTCAGACAGGCTGGAAGTCTCTTTTGCCTGCATGTTCACAGATGCTGCAGCGCGCAGACCCTCTGGCTCTTCTTTCCTCCTCTTCTTCTTCTTTACCTTAGTGACAGCTGTATGCTCTGGGGGTCTGTGGAGGAGACGTTGGCTTCTTCGTCTTGGACCTGCCTGTTCCGTTACAGGCTCGGGTGCTTCTCTGCCCTTTTGTGTGACATTTTTCCTCCTCCGTTGTTTTTTTAACTGGTTGCACCAGGTCTGTTGGCTCTTTGTTCTGGATGATGCCATGAAGTGTTTCCTCTCCTGTGAGGTGACACACAGATTATATGCCAAATTCACAAATAAAAAGTGCAGCGACGTGCATGATTTCAACGGCCTGCTTACCACCACTTTGATGTCTTCGTCTTCTGACCTCTCTCCATCTTCTCTGGAACAGAATAGATACGTTTTATTCAAAACAATGTCCCACAAGGTATTGTATTCATAATCTAGAACTCTCTGCCTGAAAGACAAGAGGCATATCTGTTAAACACTGCTGCAGACCGACTGATGTGTTCCCCGAGTCTATTTCAAAGACTTTTGTGATCAACTGTATCGAAAGCACTCAGATAAAATGGCACCAAAAGCTTAATGGCATCTACATTTACAAGGGTTGTCCCTGCACTAAACCAGAAAACCAGACTGAAGGATTTTTTTTTTAACTATAAAACTGTATGTAGGGTTTTCTACAATTGAACTTAAAAAATGAATATTAAGAGGAGTACATATAAGTCTGTCACTGGGTGTTGATGGTTATAGGCCACTAAAATATATACACATGTAACTTACAATAAGCATGGTTATTCCTTGACATAAACTCACTCTGACAATGGAGATATGTTCTCCCCATCCATGTCTACTGTTGGTAAAGATGACTCCAGATTCTGTCCTCTTCGATAGCTCTGCCTCAGCTCTCCGAGACATTTAAAGAAGCCGCCAATCGTGTAATTCTGAAACAAGGAAAGACTTCAGCACAAAAATAATATGTATACTTGTTGACGTTCTACAGCAACACCAGCCAGCAAACAAATGTGTGTTTAAGTATTGGTCATTCTTACATGAAGGCTTTTGTTCTGGTCGGGTAACGGACCGCTTTGGCGCTTCCGCTCTTGAAGGAAAGGGAAACTGTAGTTCGGCAGGGAGTATTTCTTTCTTCTCCTCCACTCGTGAGTTTCCAGTTCTTCATCGCAGGAAGCGGAGGATGAACTGTCTGCACTTCCCTCTAGTTCTCTGGGAGATACGGGCTTTGACCTCCTGCTGTAGTGAGGTCGTCTTCCTAACCTCCTAGCCTCAGGTAACTTTAATGTCTTTTGGGTTATGAACAGGCTGTCTCCTGAGTCCCTGCAGAGGAACATTTATACATTTAGAAAGACAAACTGGAGCTTTTATTCAGGCTGCTGTTATTGGGGGAAAGCTTGATCATACTTGTGACATGTGTAGTAGTACATCCTTACCCCTCTGCTTCAGCAGGACCATTAGACACTTTATCCCGTCTGCCCTGTCCCACAGAAGACTCAAGAATCAATCCAACTTCGGATTGATTCCCATTTAGAGAATGATGCACTCCAGTCATTGTGCAGATTAGCAAAGGGCAGAGATCAAACTAGAGGAGGTCTTCATTGGCAAGAAATAGTAAAAAAAAAAAAAGATCCGCTTGTAGCCTGCCTCGAACAAAAATACGCTCTAAATATGTTAGTTGTCTCCAATTATATGTCCGCTTTGGGTGGACACGGATGAGTATTACCTAAACATCTCGCTAATGTCGTATAGCAACAACCTGCACCAAAAAACAAAACAAAGTAAAAGCGAGTAGCCACCACACGTGTCTGTGTGAACCAATCCGGAAGTTTCTAAACGTCTCCTACTTGACGAATAGTCACGTGACCAATGACCAACGAGCAGGCGGTAATGGACAAATGAGCAAGAGGTTTCACTCTTTCTACTTCCGTTTTGTCTCTTTGTCCGAGCTTCCCTCAGTAAATACGAGCCGCTCTTAATCCCCCGTTTGTTTAACATTCATAAGTGATCCTGACAAAAAACTCTATTCTATTCTATTCTTACAATAGTACCCGTGAAATAAAAATATATTTTTCCAAAACTGAGGCAGTTATGCTACTAAACGTGCTGCATAGACGAGGAAACAAACCGTGTGGGGTAGGAACCATCTTGCTAGTATTTACTCTTTGGTTGGTCTTCAACCACTCGGGATGTGCTCGCTTTAGCAGTCCGCTTTTCCTGCACCGCAGACAGCCTGCTGGTACTTTTAACTTCAACAACAGTTATGGCACAAATCAGCAAAACTGAAAAGGTTCAGCTGCACGCGCCAGATTTGGAGGAACTGCGTGGAGGTAAGGACATCAGTGGCACAGCCCATGAATGTTTATGAAACTGCATGTTTATCTCTGTATATAAATATAGAGAGAGAGTAACAACGACTTATTGCTGGTTGCAGTACTGCAAGCAGGACTGGAAGACAACTTTGCAGAAGTGCAGGTGAGTGTTGTGGAGTGTCCCGATCTCACCAAAGAGCCCTTCCACTTTCCTGTCAAAGGTAAGAGCCTATCACGTACAAGTACACTGCGTTGTTCCACAGTGTTCAGTCCCATTTTCCATAATGTAAAAAAACCCTATAAACTCTGTATACATCTCGGAGGCAGAATCAAATCCCTCATGCATGTCTTACATCATGTATTTAGTCCAATCATGCTCATTTTGACACTTCGTTTTTACCCTTACATGTGGATTTATTTGATCTTACATTGAAGATATATGATTATATCTATATTCGTCTAGAAATAATGGCTACAAAAAAAGCATTTGATCAGAATTGTGAAGTTGTTAGTTAGGATTTGTGTCATGTTGTTGATCACTTCACCTCACCTCTGTCCTCATGCTGCAGGCTTGTGTGGAAAGCCTCGCATCACCGATGTTGGTGGTGTGCCGTACCTGATCCCCTTGGTTCAAAAGCACAAGGTAGTTTTTTTTATTTTTTTTATTACAAAATATTGTGTGGAATAATGATCAATGGCCTGTAGTGGGATGGGATTATTATATTGTCGCCTCTCTTCCTCCCAGGAATACAACATGAACACCATATCAAAGGAGCTGGAGCTGCCAGGAGCCTTCGTCCTCGGTGCAGCCGCTGTTCCCAGCAGAGTTGTGGGAATGAATGCAGAGGTTAATCACTTTTACGGCACATCATAGATTCTGGCTAAAATACCTTTACTTAGGGTGCAGCTCTCCAGTTTTCCCCCCTGGAGTGGAACCCCAAGATAACAATGATTTGTTAAAGCAGTGGCCTAAAAATAATAAAATCTGGCTCCAGTAAGGTCTTATTTAAGATAGTTTAGCTTTCATGTTTATATCAGGATGTCTGACTACAGAGTAAATAATGGATTGACAAAGTTTGGGTAGCTGTGGGGTTGCTTTCTGTTTGGAGTTTGGACTGTATCTAACTGAAAGCTGCACATCTGGCACGAGAGACGTTGCTCTGCAGTGAAGCAGATTCTAAATATTCTCGTCCACAGATGATGCCTCTGGTTCTGACCGAAGCGGAGGGAAGGCCTGCAGTGAACGGCAGCTACTTCGCCTCCATCAACCCGGCCGATGGCCGGTGTCTGCAAGAAAAATACAGCAACAAATTCTCTGGCTGCAGCTTTGGGCTGATGGGCAATCTGTACGCCTGTGAGGGGAAGTCTGGAAAGGTAACAAGTCTCATCAGATCAAAAAAACATCTGCGGCTTCTTGTCTCTGAGAGCGAACCATGGTGCATGCACAAAAACGCTTTTGTCATTTTGCTTTTGTCAAATAACGAAACACCCCTGGTTATATATGATCTTAAACCCAATTATCTGTAGGTTAGTAGGTTAAAAGTTGGTACACCTGAACTTCAGCCCCATCATATCTGTGCTCCCGACATTGGAGAAGATAAACATTAACAAAAGGAATGTGTTGTTTTCTCTTCACCTCCAGGTCATTGAGGTGCGGGCCAAGAAGAGAACAGGGGCCCACAGTCTTGTGACGGCCCTGAGGAGCACTCTAGAAGGTCGCTACCCTGATAAAAGCCTGGCTCTGGGGGGCACCTTTATCATCCAGAAAGGGAAAGCCAAAATCCACATCATGGTAAATATTGGACATTTCGACACAGTACACGATCGATAGTTTGCTGACAGTTCCACGCCATGATTTATTTCATTAAAAATATGCTCATATCGACAGCCAAGAGAGTTCTCGGCCTGCCCCCTCAACACCAACGACGACGTCAACAAGTGGCTCAAGCACTTTGAGGTCAGCGCCCCGCTCATCTGCCAGTCGGTGCTGGTATCCAGAGACCCCGTGAGTAAAGCGAGCGCTCGCCTCAGTGAGGCAGACACGACATGAGATGAGCACCAATCGGTAAAAGTAGACCGCTTCCGAATGCGTCTCGTTCATGCGTTTGCAGGGTTTGGACCTCCGCGTGGAGCACACCCACTGCTTCAGCCACCACGGAGAAGGGGGCCACTACTACATAGACACCACCCCCGACAGCGTGGAGTACCTGGGCTACTTCATGCCGGCAGAGTTCGTCTACCGCATCGACAGGCCCGATGACACCCATGGAGTTGGACGAGATTGAAAGGCGAATTAATGAATACGTCGCGCTTGCAGCACAACATCTCTCGATGGTCTCGATTAATCAAGCGGTGTGTGATTTATACTAAGTTCTGTGTGTTCTTTAAATGCGCGGGAACATTTTTCCAATGAAAACGCAACATTTCTTTGAAAATCTCTGCTCTTGAATCACAAATCTGCACATTTCATGTAATAAAAACAATGTTGAATTCAGAGAGTCGTGGCTGTTTGTTTAACGAATGCGGTAGAACAGTAAACGTGGGACTTTGTCTCCGGTGGCTGTAATGTCTATACAGTCTGCACAGAGAGGAAACTAGGACAATCATTGTTTTTAACAGACAGGTGTTTTCACTTGTTTTCTTAATAAGGCCTCCTCTTTTAGGAAGTGCTTGCTCCATATCTCACGCGGTTGCATTTGTTGAGGCGTGATTGCAGAGCTCTAATTAGCCGGAAATGAAAACACCTGTGCTCGTACTTAAATAGCCACCAGGTGAAAAATAATTAATCAACAGAGGCTACATTTGTATGACTGGTTAAAGTGTAACCGTCATCCTGGGATTCAAGCTAAAATTGACTTCTGTGTTTACTATTTTTATGCTTCAAATTGGTTGTTAACGCTGGACATGAAATAACCAAGTCAAAACTGGCAGAACAATGTGTGTATGTAATAAAGGCTCATTTACAAACTGACACATTTTTATTGTTTATCATTCTGACTTCCAGCTCACTTCCGTTTGAGAAAACATTAGAAACACCATTTTAACGCTGTATTTTTGTTCTCACCTTTAGCATAATTCCTCCCAAATTTAGATCAAAGGTTTATCCCTCTGCTGCCGTAATTCATATTCATACTAACAAATTGTTTCCAAAATCTAAATACATGAAAATTGGTGTCAAGGAATGATCGGTTTGGCCCTTTTACAAAACAACACTTAAAGTTGTGGTACAGTTCTATCAAATATAATTGGGCTAGTGGCAGTAATGTCATATATAGTCATTGTTGAGATGAAAACTGTTCTGACCTTTGGATCATGGTTATTGAAAAATGTCTCAAGATGTAAATTTAAGCAAAACATGCACGGAAATGTTTTATTACTTTAATATGATTGAAGTCTTGCTTTTTTCCAACCTTATATACAGTCAATGACAACAGAGGCCAAGTGGATGTCTGTACATAAAAACAAAGCATTTTATCAGCATATTTTAATTGCCATAGTACTGTTTGGTTTCATTAAGTAAGCAATAACTGCTTTAGTTATCTATTTAGATTTCTGATTATGATATATTGATATATTATTTACATAAAAAATTATATATTTTCATAAAAAATATGACTTTTGAATAGTATTTAAATTATTGTATTAAACGGTAGAAAGCATATTACCTCACAGAATCATTTGACTCAGCTGCAACGCTGTAACTTCTCAAGCGTTGAAACGTCGCCATCTTCTGGCCGGAGCAGGTAACACGTCATTTCCCACAATGCTGCTGCCGCACCAGCCCGGAAGTAAGACGTTTATTGACAATATGGCCGCTGTGCTGGGCTTGGATTTGTCAAAAACTGGAATTTGACAGCACTCACCTGGGCTGCGATAATAACCCATTTCCACCTCAGGAGTGTCCAGAACAGATGCATTTGAATGAAGGGACCCGCGGAGCCACGGGATGGTGTCAGTGAGCTGAGGAAACGGTCACAGTGTGAAACCCGTCATGTCGTTTTTCAAGAGGAAAGGTGAGGAAGCTCCCTCTTGAGTGCTGCAACGTCAACGGTAGCTAGCAGCTAAGAGAGTCCGGCTGAGGAGAGACTGGTGCCCGATAAGATGTAACCAATGTGGTCGAGGCTGCGGCCGCAAGCAAATTGACCAGTGACAGCGTGGTTGTCTGTGGAAGTGAGATTTCCCTTCCGCCGCTGCTCTCTGCAGTGACACGGTTAGCTTAGCGGTGGCCTCTCTATCCTCCCTGCCTGACCTGCTGTTAGCCAGGGTGGAAATACATCCGCCACAGAGAGCTGTCAGCAGTACGTTGTACCAATTACACCCTTCAACTTGATTATGTTTAAAAAAATAGTGCTTCTTCACATTAAAGACTCCCAACGAGCCCTTTTACATGTGACACCCATCACTTGACACAAGTGTCGAACTGTGCTATGGCAGCTAACGTTAGCTAGCTTCACCAAAGCCATTATTATACAGCTTTAACCAGCAGGAGATATGGAAAATACACTTAACATTAGCCCGTTGTATGGGAATAAGAGTTGTTGGTTATCTTAAATTAAATGTGTAGTCTTCGTTTAGAAACGTTTGACCGAAAGGGATGTAACGTTAGCTAACGTCAGTCAGACTGGACAGCATCATCCAACGTGGAGTTAAAGAAGCTGATTAAATTGGACCTGAATGTTGGTTTTAAACCACAACATGGCCTCGCGCTATTTCAGGCTGAACCCTCATATTACGGTCATTGCATGACATAAACAGTGTGTCTTATACCTAGGGAATTGTTGTAGTAGACATTGACTGAGCTTCATTTTTTAGGCTGTAGTTATACATTGTACCCACTCGTGCATCTCATATTTTGTCCACACCATGCATATCAATGAGGGTAGATCATTGTGAAACCGATGTCTGCTCGTGTTCATTCGTGAAATCTCCAGAGTTAACCTCACTGTCAACACCAGACCACCGTTGTTCATCTTCATGAGTGAGATCAGTGGGTTTTTCCTCGTCAGGCTACAGCAGTCAAAGCAGCTGACACAGCAGGTCTCCAAAATGAGGAAATATTAGAGAGAGAGGGCACTTATATAGCTCTGAACCAGGATGACACTCTGTGCTTACAGGAAGAAAGTGTAGTGTTTGGTGTAGGGCATGGTCGAATTGTACATGCAAAGTTTTACTGAAGTTTTGCAAAGAAGTTCGAGCACTAATATCAAATAATAATGAGTCATGTGGGGCAATAGATTAATCAAATTGGCATTAGTAATGGTAATAATACAGAGTTGTCAGTGTTATCTGTAGGTTGTTGTACTTTGTTCATTCAGGCGTCATCGACGTTTACCTTTATCAGTTTGATTCCCTTCATTCATTCGGTTAAGTTTGGCCCACGCCATCAATCTACATAGCAAGTGCATCATTCACTGCAACACATCTCGATGCTTTGCTGTCAGTGGCGCACCTTTTGAGACTAAAGTGAGTCCTCACGGTGCTTGTGCCAATGCACACCAATGCTGTCTGTCCATTTTGCTGGTAGTACATTAGACATTTTTTTTTTTTTTTTTTTTTTTAATAACCAAAAACATCCATTGCAGCAACTCCTCATGGTCCTATCTGAATATTTATTTGGAACAAAGACGTCTGGTGTCATCTGTACCGCAGAGGTTGTCGGAGCTCCTTTCTAAAGGCCTCATCTCTCAGCTGTGACAGACAGCCTCTCAGTGCCTGCCGACTCAGACTCTTGAGTGACGCGTACACTCGCAGACGGCTCCCTCAAAAATTGTCCCGCTGAAAGCGCATTCGCCCCGGGCCTCGCAGTCCATTTTGTAATGTCAGTGCTCAAAATTGATACCTATCTTGACCGCCCTCTGCAGCAGCAGCAGCAGCAGCAGCCTAATCTGAAGACACGAATGGTGAGTCACTCTGATGAGTGGTTGCCACCATGTTTGTGCACTTATTCCACTACAGGCTACATATTTCACTTTTTATTTGACAGTCGGCCACAGAGCTTTGGAGTGGCGCGCAACTCTTAGAGGGCTTCAGGTGTGAGCTGTCAGACAGTCAGCTTCACTAGGCTTTAAACTGCCCGTGACCCACCAGAGCTGATAGACCAAGGTCACCAATCTTAGGAAGGATCCTTAATGCTGACATACAGTATGGACGCCTCTCTTCTTGCCGTATGATTAGCAGGACTGAGAGGGCTTTCACATATCAGAACACAGCTCCCCTATTTACCTCCTCATCTGTCCGCAGCAGCAAGGAAGCAGCTCCGCAGGAAATGGTTTGTTTGCTTCTCTAGTATATCGGTGTCCTCACTAACGTCATTATGTAACTTGATAGCGAGTTCCAGTCTTCCCTTTACCTCAATGAATGTCACCATGTATGTGCTGCGCGCTCGCTGGTCTCGCCCCGTGTTGTGAATGAAAATGCTGCATCCTTCTCCAGTTACATCTCGTCTTTCCCCCCCACAGCCAAAAGCAAAGAACCCGAGAGAGCGACGGACGCTAAAGCCAATAGAGGTGAGTTCATCGTCGCAGAGATGTTTTTTTTGCGTGTGTAGAAAGTGAGATTAGCCTCCATACGGAAGTGATTCAAGTGGCTCTTTGCTTCACTTGGTTTATGATGTTCGATCATTGCTTGCCATGCTGTCGCAAGGACTGACATTATGAACCTCAAGCTACTCAGTGGAACACATGCAGCTCACATTCAAACAAACACGGAGCGGTCTGTCTTCTCAAACATCTCTCCTCACACCCCCGAGGCCTCTGTGAACTAACTGTGAGCTCTTTGAAAAGCCTTCGCTAAAAAGACCTTCTCATACAAGTCACACTGACGTCACACATTCAGGCCGCTCAGATCTTTGATATCATTGTACTCCTTTTCTGCTTTTGTTGTTGTTGTTGTTGTTGCCTAATGCCTGTTTTCTGTCCTCCACCCACTCAGCCTCACCCAGCCCTCACTCTCCATCACCAGGACTGAGGAACCACCATGCCACCCAGGACGCTGCCGGGCCCAGCCCTGTGGCCATCAACGCCATCTCTGCCAACATGGACTCCTTTGCCCGCGGTCGCACCGCCATCCTCAAGAAACAGCCGAGCCACATGGAGGCTGCGCACTTTGGAGATCTTGGTAGGGAGCCAGCATCCGTGTGTCTGTGTTTTGCTTACAGTGATCACATATGAAGACCCAACCAAACATTGGAACATATACATTTGAGGTGTATTCTGAAATGCAGCTAAAAAGTTTGTGTTTTTAGGTGGAACATCTGCATTTTGGAGTTTCTCGACTGATTAGAATAGCAAATTTAATTTAACCTTTTTAAAGGGATAATTAGTTTTCTGGCGTAATGTGCTGCAGCTACAGAGTGTGACTCTTTCTTCACTAACACGGCTTAAACAGCAGCACACTGTCTTGTGCAAATGGAAGAAACTCCCTGCATTAGTGCTGTGTGACACACTCGCATGACTTCATGTATTTCTTTTAAAACGCACGAGGACATTCTTCTCCTGAGGCCATGCGGAACTTGATCAGTAGTGCTCATGAATCAGGTTCCTGGTTATGTACACTACATGCCAAAAATACAGTGGCTAGCGCATGAATGTAATGTTGAGTGACGGCAGCGACGAGAACTGCACGAGCAAGTTGCCCAGAGAATAGCGGAGGTGAGTCAGACGGAGGTGGACGAACCTGTGGCACCGCCCGGACAGCAAAACCAGAATGAAACGCATCAAGTGTTTCACGAGGCTGTGGTTTTAACAGATGTTTACTGACGCTCAAAGATTCAGATGAGGCTCTTTTTTATGAGCCAATGCAGACGCAGGTTGCTGCTTTCAGCTTTCCTTATTAAGGTGGACTTGTCTGCGAGGTCTTAAGGAATCCGAAGGGGCTGATTGATAAGCGCCTCACACTGGGGGACACCTCTTGCAGCACTGTTTTGTTTTTTAAAGAGTAAACAAAACACCGAAGAAGCCTCAGTCTGACTACAGCTGATGTGCTCTGATTCATAATCCAGCAAGTGTCTGGGTTTGTATTCAATGAGTACGGCCCCTTCTTTATTTTGTTTTCCAGAAGTGTGTGTGTCTTGTAGTCCGGGATGGTGGATGTTACTCAAACAGACACTCAATTTGAGACATCGTAAAGTCAAATGATACGGCATCCCTACAGGAGTTTGGGGTCTGTCAAACGTTGCCCCCCACACACACTCACACGTGTGAATGACAGGACTGACAGGAGGACACACAGATGATGGAGATGTGTGATTCTGAAAAGTTTGTCCGGGTTAAATCATCTGTGAAATTGCTCAGTCCGAGGCCGCTTCTTGTCAGACAGAGAGAGATTCACAAGGCTGCAAAAGCAGGAGTTTAGATTCAGCTCTCGTTCCAGCCTTCAGTCATGAGAGAGCTGAACACGGACACTTTCTTTTTGTTTTTTGTCTTGTCTTTCACTTCAAGTTGCAACTCCCATCAATATCCTGCACAACTTATCTTCCTTCTATTATGAAAGTTGAAACCTGCAAATCAAAGAAAGTGCTGCTCAGTCAGTTATTGGAGTGGAGCGCTTCAGTGTCTAATTTGCACTTAAAGGCAGCTCAATCTTATTTCAGATTTTTCTTGTAGCTAGAAATACACTAACAGAGAAGCCTATAAAAGTGAGCTGTGCTAAGTGGATTACTTAACCGTGTGTACATTTGTGCGTTCCAGGTCACTCCAGTGTGAACTATCATCCCCAAGATGACCGCTCTCGGCTGTCTAAGACGGTGGAGCACGTCCTCCGGGACAACGTGGCGATACCCCACTACATGCATTTCATGGAACACCAGGGCGCCGACCACCTGGTCCGCTTCTGGCTGGAGGCTGAGAGCTTCCGCTCGGCCAGCTGGTCGCGGGTCCGAGCGCACAGCCTGAACTCTGTCAAACAAAGCTCTCTGGCCGAGCCCGTCCCCGTCTCCCCCGGCGGCTCGGAGCCACCGCCGGAGCTGGCCCGACGCGCACCCGATGCTCTCGCCCGGGACAGTAGCGGCGAGCGGCCGGCGGCGCACTGGGAGCGCCGGGACTCCTCCAGCGCAGAGGCCGACCTGAGACCCGACACTCCTCGAGCAGAAACCCCCTGCAGGCAGGCCCAGTCCGGGACAGGGACTCCCTACAAGGTGCAGTCAATCAGCACCCTGCGAGACCTCTCTGTCCAACTCATGAAAAGTGAGTCACCTTTACACAAGTTCCTCTCTTTATGTGTTTATACAAGATATATAAGTTTAGTATATAAGTATATAAGGCAAGTGCAATGGAAACGGAACAAATCATGATGTATACGAGGCACGAACAAACAGCAGCAGATGAAAACATCCGATCCGTGTGGACTGCGACCTCCCTCAAATTCATACATGAATCCATCATAATTGTCACATCTCCATCATGTTCGCCACTTGGTTTTCCAGATCTGAGGTGTGATTGTCATCTTGCTGTGGCCTCTTTTTCAGCAACCTTTTTAAAGTCATCAGAGTGGAGAATTAACACCCAACTCCTAATATTTGCACAACAATAGTGCATTAAATAGACACTTTGAATAGACTCGGTGTTGTCTTTTGCCACTTTAAAAAGGATAGGTCGATGTTTAATTTAAAACAATACTGACATGCCCATACGTACAATATTGTTTATTGTTCATACTGGCTGAAGAGAGATCTCTGCCCTACCAGATTGTGATTCGGCTTAAGTTAAAGGTGCACACGTCAAACATTCAGAGAGTATCTAGGTTTGATGGATTGCCCTCACATAGCTCTCAACATGGCAACGGCTGAGCCGGCGGCTAGCAGCTAACTGTGCTAACAGCTGTAAGTGGTGCAGAGTGGTGCCGATTAGCTAGCCGGTGGGGCGCGCGCACACACACACACACACACAGACTTGCACGCACAAATTAAGCGCACAAAAACGCCACTATATCTTTACATAGCAAGTAGTTGTTTACTGCGATATTACCTTTTTAACATGAGGATTTAGAAGACTGTGTTAGACAAATCAGGTAGTTATCTTAAGAAGTTTGTATTTTTAGTGTGGAATATCCTCTTGGTGCTTCCATGGACACTCTTCTCACACAGAAACATCAGTTCTATGTATGTTGTAGCATCACTGGATGTTCAGCTATTTGTGTCTTTGTCTCTTTGTTTTTCCAGGTATAGAGAAAGATGCAGTTACAATCTTCACCAAGTACATCTCTCCGGACGCTGTGAAGCCCATCCCCATCACAGAACAGATCAGAAACGACATTGTCGGTAAGATACGGACAACGGCAATAGAAACGTACTGGTTTCAGTCACAAAAAGTCACCCTCTTACATCATGTTTCCCCCTCTGTGTAGCTAAGATATGTGGCGAGGATGGCATGGTGGACCCAAACTGCTTTGTCATTGCACAGTTGGTAGTCTTCGCCATCTTGGAACAACAGTGAGTTTCTGTCTATTCATCTTCCAGAGGTGTTAATACTCACACAGTGAGGTGTTGCCGGGTTTCCACATTAAGATTAAAGTTCAACCTGCAGCCCTTTGGTCATCTTTACCACCTAGCGGCGCCTGTATTCATCTCCCACTCGCTCTTTCGTTTCCAGGCACTTTACTGAATTCCTGCGGAGCCATCATTTCTGTAAATACCAGATCGAAGTGTTGACCAGCGGCTCGGTGTTCCTGGCTGACATCTTGTTCTGTGAGTCGGCTCTCTTCTACTTCTCTGAGGTGAGCGGCGGGCCCAGTGCTTCCCAGACCACCATTCATTCGTGGTGTTTCAGCACAAACACACCAGTGCCATTAAACTCCTCATACACTCGTCCTCTCTTGCCTCTGCCACAAAACGGTGTCTATCAGTTATTTTATTTACCTGTTCCAGAGGGAATATCTGTTGTCACCACAGTAGTAAACTGAGGCCACAGTAAACATAACTAAACACAAAACCCCTCTGTAGATGCTCCCTATACTATCTACCATCCTATCGATACAAAAGTGACACTCCATGCACAAATAAAGTCAAAAGGTTGTCGGAGTAAACATGTATTCTCTATGTCAGCGTGTACTCAGGACATGCGGTTAATCTTGATCTGTGCTCTTCATCTCCTTCACCTGCAGTACATGGAAAAGGAGGAGGCGATGAATGTACTGCAGTTCTGGCTGGCGGCGGACAACTTCCAGAACCAGCTAGCGTCTAAAAAGGGCCAGTATGACGGCCAGGAGGCTCAGAACGATGCCATGATCCTCTACGACAAGTAGGTCTTCACTCTGCTTCTGTGCACTCAAACACTCGATAAAACGTCTACTGCCGCTTTAAATGATTCATTTCAGTCCAGTGTTTCAGTTCATCTTTTAATATATCACCCAGGTTAAGTCAGTTTGTAAGTGCGTTTCACAAAGTTATGTTCCGTTGACGGGCAGACACCGACCAATCAGATCACTGGAAACAATCACGGCGTCCTTCCTACAGGATCCCACCACGGACAAAAGATTGCAATTACGTTTTATAAGTGACAAGTAATAAAGAGTCATTCGCGTGTAGTTTTTTTGGTTTTACAGCCAGAGGAGAGTTTAACACACTGAATGCATAATGATGATGATAGCTGCATTTTAATTTAACAAAGATTATTTTATTCCCGACAGGAATCTGTTGCCTTTTATTAGGAAAATAATCCCCACACTGATAATTAGCGCCCATGATTGTGAATGCAGCATCTCAGCCAGACGGAGCTTATCAGACATTAACTTCTTTTCTTCTCTCTCATCTCTGCTTCAGCAGCAAAACAGTCTCGCGTCACTTCAAACTTTATAATGCGCATCACGTATTCGTTAAAGTTCGTTCATCAAAAAATACTCCCTTTATGCCAAAGACATGGCTACGTAGATGATGATAATGGGTGGAGTTGATAACCAGCTTCGTAGGACCGCTTAGCGGGATCGTGGTTGTTAGTTGAGCCGGGTGACCATAAGAGACTCTGGGTATGTTGAACTCTCTTCGTAGTACAGGCTCCAGGATCACAGCCGTTGGGCTCATGTGTGTGTTTAGTGACGTCAGGGCGGAGCCTCTGCTTTATCAGCGATGGTAAAGGGCCGAGTGCCACTGCTCTGTATCGCTGAAGGAGGAAGGGCACAGCTGTTCTCTAGTGAAGGACTTTAGTTTAACCTGGTGCACTGATTGCTGTGCATGGTATTAGAAAATTGTGGTTGAAGTAACAGAGAAATATGATTATTATTATATACCTTATTTTAAACTTGATTGCGTTCATGTTTGTAAAGATGGAGTTTTCCTCACTAAAGTTCTTGAGTTTTTACTGATTGTGTATTGATTAAAAATCTGAAAGCAGGTCGTTCATCGCTCTGCTTCCTCTCCAGGTATTTCTCACTCCAAGCCACCAACCCTCTGGGCTTCGGTGACTCTGTGCGGATGGAGATAGAGTCGAACATCTGCCGAGAGGGGGGGCCGCTCCCCGACTGTTTCACCACTCCACTCAGACAGGCCTGGACCACCATGGAGAAGGTCCGGTTCTCTTGAGTCCTTTTTACTCTGCAGGACATTATTAAACCGTTAGTTGATTAATACATTGCCCTTTTAAAACTTTCTAAAAAAAGAAAAAGAAATCCTCAGCTTGAGCTGTTTTCTTGAGTTTAATAGGATCCTCCTAAAGGTTTTCTGTTGTAAGTCGCTGATGAATTGTCCCATTATACCGCTGACAAATGTGCCTCGTGCTAATGAGATGCGATCTGAACACAGTTGTGAGCACTCGAAGGTGCATCCCGGAGCTCATTATCCTCTTAACAGCGAGCGTTGTGTTGCCTTTGTTCAGGTCTACATGCCGGGCTTCCTGTCTAGCAACCTTTACTACAAATACCTGAGTGACCTCATCAACTCGGTACGGGCGGACGAGTTTGTGAATGTCAGCACTGCAGGTCAGGGCGGGCCGGTGGACGGCGAGCGCTCAAGTTCAAATGTCGGCGATGGCTCTCAGACTCAGGTAACCCCCAGACTTTAACCCACATCTTCAGCCCCTGTGGGGGTGCTCCTCTTGTCTGCTGACATTTAGACCCGCTCCGCCTCCGTTACATGAGATATTTCTGTTAATGTCGAAAGGTTGTGGTCGTACCTGTCGTCGTTTTAGACGACAACAACAAATAAAAAGCGGTGTTCCCTGTAGTGCTGCCAAACATACAGTTTCTGGTTTCTTTGCTCTACAGCAAGGTGCCAAAAGGGCAGCGATCAAGATCCTGAAGAACTTTGACGAGGCGATCACGGTGGACGTGGCCAGCCTGGACCCCGAGTCCTTGTACCAGCGGCCCTACGCTGGGTGAGTCAAGCTGGCTAAATCTGTTTAAAGTCATCTCTTTAACTCTGCCAATAATTGCTGTATCTTGGTCAAGTTCCCTTGTTGTCTTTTACTTTTTTGGTTCTCTCCTTCGATCGCCCACACTGCCTTAATGCCTGTAATCTATTTCGTTTTTTATTGACTCTCTCTTAAAGTGCTTTGAAATGTCCTGCACGAAATGATTCGAGAGCGAGATCTTGAAAAGTGAAAGACAAAGCTGTAGTCTGTCTTCATCCCTCTCCTCTCCTCTGTCCGCTCAGAAGGATGACGTTTGGGAAGGTGAATGAGATGGGCCAGTTTATCAGGGAGGCCGAGCCGGAGCCGGACGTGAAGAAATCCAAAGGCAAGATGGGCTCACACTTGTCTCTCTTCTACCTGTTAGATTCTCTCTGTCTCATTATTCTCTCTGAGTCTTTGCCCCTCAGTCTGTCAGACTTTATCTCGTTGCTCCTCGCAGTGAAACCATCAACTCTCCGGCCGTGAATACAAACCTCGTTTGTGGCTGCTCCCATTCTCCCTGCAGCCTTCTGAAATATTTAAGAACAACCCAGCCTCCGCTACTCTTACGGTCCAAGAACACACACAATCTTTATTTATTATGTCCAAGTCTAGAATAGAGTACCAGACATTTGGCTCCAGAATAAGTAGGCCAAAGCCCTGAATGCTTCAACGCGTCAGGAGTCGCTCACGTTGAGTTGTTTGTTCAGCTTCTTTGCTCCGATTAAGATCCTGAAGTTTACGTGCTCACCGATGCGGTCCCCTTTTGTCTCACACAGCCTTCCCTCTCCTCTCCTTTAGGTTCCATGTTTTCTCAAGCCATGAAGAAGTGGGTGCAGGGCAACTCAGACGAGGTGAGTCCACAAGATATTCATGAATGATTCAGGGGTGTGAGGCGCGTAGCGAGGCTCTCTGTACGTATTAGTTCAGTAATAGTCTGTGGTTAACGCTGTTGTTTTTTTGGTGCCGTTTCTCTCGGCATCAAGGCCCAGGAGGAGATGGCGTGGCAGATAGCCAAGATGATCGTCAACGACGTCGTCCACCAGTCGAATCACGACAGCCCCGGCAAGGCCACCAAGGTACAGAACCTCCCTCGGTAGCTTCCTTCCTGCGCGACGATGTGCGGAGCCGCTGCAGATCTGCTCTGAGTGTTCTCTTTTTGTCCGTCTGCAGTTATGACCCCGCTGAGGAACCAGAGGACTGTCGCTCCCCACGGACGCCGGCCCAGCCCCTGACAGACTGTACAGCAGGGTTCACCCCACAATGGAATGGACCTGCATCGCTCTGAGAACAAACAAGGCGTTTTATCCCCCCCCCCCCCCCCCC